TTAGGCTTGGGTGGAAAGAAAGAAAACAAGGGGAAAGTCGTCTATCAGGTAGGTTGATCATCTTCTACCAGGTAACTTTAGAATATGTATATTAGCTTATGTCAATTCCTGATAGTACATTGCTCTATATTGGTGTTTTGGTCTACTAGCCTATTTTCAGGTTTCTACAGAGGAAATTAGTCCAGGTGTTACTGCCTCATTTACTATAGAGCTAACTATGTTGCAGAACGAAATGTCACTAAATCTCCTTGTAGTCAGATGTATCGCGACTATAATGAAATGTTCTATTTTGGTTGTTCTATCTGGAGAAATCATGGTGTGAAGGGACTCTGTGAAGGGTATTGGGCAGCAACTGCTTGTTGAAAAACGAGTTTTCTGGCACAGGTAGGAGTATACTTTTTTTTATTTCTATGAGAATATTTCTAGAAGCATGAATTTATGTTCATGGAACTGGTCGATTTTTGTGTAAAATGCCGATACTATTCTACACATGTTTAGCATGGGCAACATATGTTCCTTTGAATTATGACAAGCTATCTTTTTTTTTGGATTCATTACTAAACATATGGATAATTTCTTCTAATAGGCACTGCAATCCTTTGCCTATGATCTTTCTTTTTCTCTGCCAGACAAAACCTGGAAGCAATGGGTTGACAAGTGAGACAAATCTAAAACATATAGAGAACCGAGAAACTGAGATGAGAAGAAGTATCTAGAAGCACCTTGGTCTCCCTTGAGTTCAGACAGGGGAAAGGTAAAGTGCATTGATGTTCTTATGATACTTGTATCTGAAAATTGTTCAACAACAAAACGGAAGCAATTTTGTAATAGTCAAGCAGATTGTCTATACCTTACTAAGAGATAATTAGTCAAGCAGATTGTCTATAGCTTAGTAAGAGATAATTAGTCAAGCAGATTGTCAAGCAATCTTGTAATAGTCAAGCAGATTGTGAAGCAATTTTGTAAGAGATAATTGGTTCTGCTTTCGATTTGTATACTTTGTCGAAGTATAACTTTTCTGGGAACACTTTTGAAGTCGAAGTGGAATCTTATTGTTTTGGAATATATTATACTGTATACACATTTTTTTTCATGCGAGGCAAGAAAAGAAACCTTGTATGATTTAAGGTGATTCCTCTATATGTTAAGAAATATAAGGAGATATTTGTCTACGTAAAATCATAATTGCATGCTACTCTTATGAGTTATAATGTTGTTTTGATCAATACATATGTATAAGTTTGTTGTTCGTAGCAATGCACGAGCATTCAATTACATGATATATTTTCTTCCAAATGATGAGTTTTTTACATTATTACACGTGCGTTGCACGTGCATGTGTACTAGTATAGATAAGCTTGGAAAAGTGAAATGTTTATTCCATTGAAAAAAATATTCTATTGGAAAATATCTACAGATTTGCATACTACATAATTTATATAAAAATACAGTAGAATTCATTTGAAGGAAAGAGCCCTCATGTACGGTACGTCTGGACTCACATTTCAGTGGATTTCATCGTTTATTCTTGGAAGTACTCGTACAACCCAACTACGGTAAATATACGTATTAATAAGATCGGTAAATATGCTCCACAACTCGATTAAGTGTAGTTGTTGGCGATGTCGGCGAGGTGGCCCGCCAGTCCCTCCGGCGCGGAGAGCATGGCCATGTGGTCGGCGTCAGCCATCTCCCTGACCTCGGCCACGGGGATGCCTGCGATCATCTGCCTCTGGTACTCCTCGACCATGGCCTGGTCCTGCTTGGCGATCACGTAGACCTTGGTCACCGCGCCGTATCGGGCAGCGCTGAACGGCGGCCGCTGCTGCTGGTCGGCGACGTAGTAGGAGCTCACCCGCGCCAGGCTCTGGCACAGCGTGTAGTCCTCTTCGGAGGTCAGCTGGTAGAGCTTCCGGCGCACGAACTCGGGGCCGAGGAACACCGACGGCGGGGCGTGCTCCTCGTCGACCACGCTGTCCATCCAGTCGGACACGGGAACCTCCTCGATGACGCGGGTGCGCGGGGCGTCGCAGTCGGGCATGAAGGCGGTGAGGAACACTGCCGCCGCAACCTTGTCCGGGAACTCCTCGGCCGCGAGCGCGATGCTCATCCCGCCGAAGCTGTGGCCCACCAGCACCGCCCGCTCGCCGTCCGGGAGGTCCCGAAGCGCGTCGAGCAGGGGGCGCGTGTAGTCCTCGAAGGTGGGCGCGTCGCTCAGCCGGCGCGCGTCGGCGCCGCAGGCCGCGAGGTCCGGCGCGTCCACGCGGTGTCCCGCGGCGCGGAGGAGGGTGGCGACCTTGTACCAGCACCAGCCGCCGTGGCCCGTGCCGTGCACCAGGATGAGGCGGGTCGACGTCGCCACGGCGGCCGCTGGCACAGAGGAAGGAGACATGCGTGCGCTGAGCACCTAGTAGGCTAGTAGCTGCTTCCTTTCTTGGCTGCTTGATTGATGTTACGCCTCTCAGTTTGCTTATGTACGTGGCCATGCGGGCGTCTTCGTCAAGAAAGGTGGGCAGATGCGGTATGGTATTGTCACGGCTGATGCAACGCTGGGGCGGGTCAATCAACGGTGGCCGCTTCCTTTCTGCATTGGCAGCCTGGCTGCGGAGAAGATGCTCTTCAGTTAGACATTGCCCGTTGCCATCATCGACATAAATGCGACGGTTTACAGCTCGCAAAAGGACGACGACTCGCACCTTTGATTCCTGCAAGGTGCCAGAGGCTGTACCTGTACGCTTAAGTTAGCGTCAAGAGCAGGGAAGTGCACAGTAGATGCAGGTAATGTTTCCACAGATATGATCAAACCTACAAAATGTTGACTCGGACAAATAGTATTTCAGTTTTGCCAAAGTATTTGGGAACGAAGCGGATACTATTCAAAGTTCTCTTTTATGAAAAATCACAAGGAATGGAACTTCTCTATTCATCATAGCCTTCATCAGGTAGTAAAAGTAAAACACGGGATGGTACATGTGCATTCCATAAACCAGACACGCCATCCTTTCAGAGACAACTCATGGAAGACTTTACTAATATCTCAAACAAATGTGCCAATCTGAGATGTTTCAGTAGTCGCCATTAGAGCATTCACGACCATGGAGCAGTGAGATTCAAGGACCATGAACACTGAATTTCCTTCCCTGATCCTTTTTTCTCTTATAAAGAGACATGAGATGGGAATCTTACAAGCTGAGTCGAAAAATGGCCAGCCTGGGCATCCTTGGCTGGCGGCCGAAAAATTGGAAAGACGACGTATTTAACATTAACAGTGACATATCCTTTGCAGCACATACCTGGTGTTTTTGTACACAAATAACCTAAATCCTGCATTGCCTGCTTGGCCTTTACATTTTTAAACACGCCGTGTCGTGAATCGTGATATTCATCGACAATGAGTTCAAGGCAGGGGTCATTCATAACATTGGCTGGAGACCTTCTAAATCCTACCTATGGAAATGAAACTGAGTTGGTAATAGCAGTATATGTTGGCTTTGCCTTGTAATTTCTTGGCTGGTTTTCTTGACCATCACGACAAAGATCACATATTGTACAATTGATTTTGTGGTATTCCATGTAAAATATTTGACAGTTAAATCAAACTTGTATAAATTTACCGAAGGCAACTTCAGTTAGGCTGATGTTTCATGATGCTCTTCATTTCACGGATTCAGAAGTATGGCAAGGGATATCTGAGGCTGTTCTTTCAAGGTTCGATAGTTGTATTTAGTGCCTGTGGGCCGTGGCATATGAAACTGTCTTTATTTTCAGTTAAGTGGACAGAGCATTATTTATCACAGCCGCATCTGTTTCTTCCTTGCTTATGACAAGCACCATAACTCTGATCCCATAGTATGTTTTGTGGGTCTGACTATGCTTAACTTTGTACAAAATAAGTTGGCACTATCAAATACTCCCTCTGTAAACAAGAATAAGACGTTTTAGATCACTTAGTGATCTAAAACCTCTTATATTTGTTTACAGAGGGAGTACTCCCTCCGTTCCAAAATAAGTTTCGTGGTTTTAGTTTGAACTAAAACCACGACACTTATTTTGGAACGGAGGGAGTAGAACACAATGTGATGCATTAAATCCCCTTGCTGAACAGCTGATTACACAGGTTAAAACTAAAAGGTGCACACCATTCTTCATCATTGGCTCAAACTTTAACCAATATTCCAGATACTGCAGGAAGAGGTAGTACCTGGCTATATAACTCGGTAAAAGGTGCACACCATTCTTCATCATTTGCTCAAACTTTAATCCTGTAATATGCACATATTCTGAATGCCAAACACATGACTCTTCTCAAGAGGCATGGAGGCTGTTCTTCTAGCTATCATACATTATAATGCATTTAATTTGTTTTTGCCAAAAAAGCATTGGCATTTGATCTACCATAACACTCTTTCTATAATATTTGTCATGTCATTCTTTCATAATTCATATCCATAGAGGGACAGGCGCAGCAATGCATGCCTTTCCGATCTAGTTGCTTGTGTATATTTCATAATAAATCACACTGGTTCTTACCAACAACAGAAACAGAGCAAGATTATTGTCCACTAAAAAATTACTAACCAATCATGGTGGGAGTAGCATGCTATGCCTTGCCACTTTGAAGGCTGAAAAACAGCTAGTACGACATGTTCAATAGATCCCAATTCGTAAATTAGTTCAATCACAACTGAACGCCTGATGTAAAGTTCTGCACTTTATCTACTACATTCAGCCAGCTGCACATACCATGACGCCATAAACAGAGAGATGAATGTAGCAGCAGTTGCGAAGGAACTTCTGGTCGATGCAAAGGAGATGCATTTCTAATGCAGCTTTGGCAGGAACCACCAAAGCAGAACATGACACCTAATTTGTCAGGTGAACACTCCAGCTTCATCCTGACACAAACTCTCCTTACCAAACTTAACAATGTTAAACTGTTACACTCGGCGCACCCATTGTTCCAACCGCAGCTGTATCATCGGAGGGCCAACGTTGGGCTTGCCTTTGCGAGGGTGCTTCCATTTGCCGCTGATCTCCTGTGATGGAGCTCCTGCAACTTCTGAAATATTGGTCCTATCTGACAAGGGGCTTCTAGTGCTACCTTGGACCAAAGGAGTAGTGCTCGATATGCAGCGGCTCTCTTGCAATGTTGTGTTCTTTCTTCCTGTTGAGACCTTGGGAATCTTGTTTGTCCTGAAATCCTCAGCTGGCTTCACCTTTGTCCTGATGGCAACAAAACCATCCGCCGCAGCTGTTTCTTCTGTTTTCTTATGCTCCAGTTTACGCTTGCTTCGGCTGATTTCATCTCCAGGAAAGCTTTCTTCTGTGACAGCTGAACCAATACCATTAGAATTAGCAGGCAGTATGTGGTGTTTGATGCCAGTTTTCTCAGTATCAGCTAGGACTTGACTATGAGTATTGACTGGCGGTTTGCTGTGTTCCATAACTTCTTCTAGTAAACCATCTTCAGTATCTGCTGCTAAACTCATTCTACCACAGTTAGCAGGCAGTCTGTTGTGTTCGATCACCCGACCTGCTTGGGGATTTTCTCGAGTTTCAGCTATACTGATGCCTTCATGATCTGCCGGTGGCTCACTGTATCTGACTGTGCCTTCACGGATATGTTCGATGTGAGGCAAGCCTGCAGCATTGCAATTTGACAGAGGCTGCACTGCATTTCTCTGTACAGCCGACACCACCCGAGTTTCATATTCATTAGCTTCATCACAATCGTCAAGAAAACTTGCTCCAAAGAATTTTCGCAGACTTCGCTTAGGCTTCTCACTACCCGCTAGGCCTTTACTAGGAAAATTATCCGGCAGGTTGCTATGTTCAATGCCATCTTCTAGGCCAGTATCTGCTGCTAAACTAGTACCACCACAATTAACTGGATGTTTGCTGTGGTTGGTCTGCTGATCTCCTGGGGGGTTTACTTGTGTTTCAGCTATACAAGTGCTATCACTATTCGTCAGCAGCTCGCTGTGTTCAACTGCACCTTCATGGCTGCGCTTTCTATTCCGTAAGCCTATCCAGTTGCGGTTCCAACAAGGATCCACTGCACTTCTCAGGACAGGCGACACCACCCGACTTTCAGTTTGAGTAGCTTCGTCACCGTTGTCTAAAAAACCTGCTTCAAACAACCCTCGCAGACTTTGTTTAGTTTTCTCAGCATCTGCTAGGCCTTTACTGTGAGAATCAACTGGCAGGTTGCAATGTTCATTGCCATCTTCAAGGAAACCTTCTTCAGTATCTGCTGCTAAACTAGTACCACCACAATTTACTGGCCGTTTGGTGTGGTTAGTCTCCTGACCTCCTGGGGGCTTTACTTGAGTTTCAGCTATACAAGTGCTCTCACTATCCGTCAGCAGCTCGTTGTCGTCAACTGCGCCTTCATGGCTGCGCTTTCTATTCCGCAAGCCTATCCAGTTGCAGTCCCAAGGAGGATCCACTGCACTTCTCAGCACAGGCAACACCACCCGACTTTCAGTTTGAGTAGCTTCGTCATGGTTGTCAAGAAAACCTGCTTCAAACAACCCAGGCAGAGTTTGCTCAGTTTTCTCAGCATCTGTTAGGCCTTTGCTGTGAGAATTAACTGGTAGGTTACTGGGTTCAATGCTATCTTCTATGAAACCTTCTTCAATATCAGCTAAGCTAGTACCGCCGCAATTAAATGGCTGTTTTCTGTGGTAAATCTCCTGACCTCCTCGGGGGTTTTCTTGAGTTTCAGCTATACAAGTGCCCTCACTATCCGTCAGCAGCTCGCTGTGTTCAACTACGCCTTCATGGATACGCTTTCCATTACTTAAGCCTATCCAGTTGCAGTTCCACGGAGGATCCACTGCACTTCTCAGCACAGGCAACGCCACTCGACTTTCAGCTTGAGTCTCAGCTATACAAGTGCTCTCACCATCTGTCGGCGGCTCGCTGTATTCAACCATGCCTTCATGGCTGCGCTTTCTATTCTGTAAGCCCACCCAGTTGCGGTTCCACGGAGGATCCACTGCACTTCTCTGCACAGGCGACACGACACGGCCTTCAGTTTGTGTAGCTTCTTCATGGTCGTCCAGAAAACCTGCCCCAAACAGCCCCCGCAGACTTTGCTTCCTTTTCGTGCCCTGTTCCACCGTGCTCCTACCAATCGGAAGGATGTCTCTTCTAGCAGAAACCTCAGCGGGTTCTGCTTGTGCTTGGCTCCCCAAACAGCCCCCCTTCAAATCGGTACCGCCATCCCGAGGGGCGTGTTTCAGAAATGAATGCTCAGCCACCCGGTACTGGAACCCAGCATGCACAATTTAGCAAATTTAATCGGTAAGAATACGGTTGGGATAAGGTAGCAAGAGAAGCAATTTCAGTAGGATTTGGTTAACATAGATCAGCAGATTCTTTACCTCCGATGGGTCTTGGGTCTCGCTGCCGTTGTGGACAGCAGGAGGGTCAACAGCCAGCTCCGGCACCTCCGGCGACTCGTACTGGTAACTCGAGAACCAGTTCCTGATGTCCGGCGGCTCTGACGAAAAACACCGAAAACGACGTGAGCACGTTTCAGAGATCTAAAATCGTCGGAACGGAACAGAGAATGGAAATTCATCAGGGTAGCAGAGGGAACCCACGGGAAGGGAACGAGAAGGGGTACGAGCTGCACCCGCGGGCCTGCAAGAACAGCGAAATCCGGTGAGACCGACGAAGGGCCGAACGCGCCGCAGCGCCGGCAAACGGAACGGCGGCACAGATGACAGAAGCAAGGAGCGGAGCCAGGAGGAGAGCCTCGCGACGAAGCGTACCTGGGTTTGGGTGGCGGATTCGTCGGGTACGTCTGATGAGAAAATAGGCAGTTTTTCGATTAAATTAATCCATGAATAAATCATGAGCATGACATGGACAGCATTGATAACATACTGATTATGATCTAACAGAGCATGTACTACGCATATAGTAGAGACATCTACGCATACCGCTAGTACTGCTACAACAGAAAAAAACACGAGAGGGATAAGCGATGTATACCCTCCAATCGGCCACGCGGTGGCGGTGGCGGTGACAGCAGCCGCGGCATCCTCGGCGGCCTTCTTGTCGGCCTCGGCTTTCTCAGCGGCGGCACGGTCGGTGTCGGTCGACATGGTGATGATGAAGGTGATGCGGACGTAGATGAACAGAAGCGAGCAGTCGCGTAGTCGCTACCCAAAAACCTAATCGCCCCTCTCCCCGTACAGGATCCGGAGAGGCGTGGTTTCGGAGGCCTGCTCTCCCGTCAACCGTGTACGCGGTGAACGGGACGGAGTCGCCGGCGGCAGCAGCAGCAGAGGAACGACGTGGGCGTGGAGGCGGAGATGCGTTCTGTTTTGTGACGGCTAGGGTTGGCAGCGCCCCACATATATATGTGCGGCCGCGCGTGGAGAGACGTGGGCTGAACCCACGTCCAAGTCGGTAGCCCACGATCCGACGTCTCAGATCGTGGCCCCACCTGTCAAAGACTCTCCGTTCCTGACCGGCAAAAAGAAGCGCATAGGAGTGAGCTCGGCTCGGCTCAATCCCGCAACCCGCGGCGCGTCGTGACGAGGCGTGGCGTGGCGTGGCGTGGCGAGGCGAGCGGAGGAGGAGGAGTGCGCGAGGGCCTCATCTCTTCTCAAGCTCCAATAGCATGAGGGAGAGAGTCCCTTATAAACCACTCCAACTCTCCTTCCACTTCCAAGGTGGGACTAAACTTCCCACACACCTAGTGCCATATAACCCACATGGGCCCTTAGAGATTTTTCAGAAATTGCAATATGGGCCTAGAGCCCATCTCAGATTTCAGCAATCCCCCACCAGATCTCGAGGGCCCATAGTGTCCTCTGTTCCAAATACTGTTTTGATATACTAGTGTTGCAGTGAAGACCTGTTAAGGTTGAGCTTCACCTAGAGCAAGTAGCTACATTCCTTCACAACTGAACAATGGACTATACCTTGAATTGTCAGTTTGGCGTAAAGAAGTTTCACCACATGTCTTACTAGTACTGGGCTGCCGAAGGCTGACCCCTCGGGTGGAGCATATAAGTCACACTCCTGGCCTATTCATGAGTTTACTAGAGATCACCCCAATCTCATAGACTGTGACTAGCAGTCGGGCTCACATAGGTGTGTTCCTCCAAAGATCGCTCTGTAGGATAGCATCTTGCTTATACATATAAGCCTTGGAACACATTAAGACAATAGTCATCCTTCCGTATAGTTTCCGAGAGTATTGCATCTCCAACGGAGTGGGTTAGTAAAGTTACTCTCCTCAGTTCACCACTGGCTTGTTTCCCCAGGTCCTACTTCACGGGATCTCCGATCACATAGGTTGGGTTACCACCATGGTAACTCATGTGGGTCTCATACCCATCTCCCTCGATGCACTATCTATCACTACACGTGATAGCCCTTTCGTAAAGGGATCTGCCAGATTCTTAGCCGTATGGACATAGTCCAACGCTATCACTCCGGAGTCTCTTAATTTTCTGACAGCTTTTAATCTCATTCTTATGTGTTTGGTGGACTTCATGTTGTCCTTTGAACTCTTCACCTTGGTGATGACAGTCTGATTGTCACAGTTCATAAGGATAGCCGGAACCGGTTTATCAACCAATGGCAAGTCCATCAAAAGATCTCGAAGCCATCTCGCTTCAACACCAGATGTGTCTAATGCCGTTAATTCTGCTTCCATTGTCGATCTTGTTAAGATCGTTTGCTTGCAAGACTTCCAGGAAACAGCGCCACCTCCAAGAGTAAACATATACCCAGTTGTGGCCTTCATCTCATCAGCATCAGAGATCCAATTCGCATCACTATACCCTTCAAGTACCGACGGGTATCCGGTATAGTGAAGTCCATAGTTCATAGTACCTTTCAGATAGCGCATAACTCTCTCAACAGCATGCCAGTGTACATCACCCGGTTTGGAAACAAACCGGCTCAGTTTGCTCACAGCAAACGCGATGTCAGGCCTCGTTGCACTCGCTAGGTACATCAGTGAACCAATGATTTGAGAGTATCTCAATTGATCTTTAGCCATGCCTTTGGACTTTCGAATCAATACGCTAGGATCATATGGTGTTTGAGATGGTGTGCAGTCCGAATATCCAAAACGACTCAACACCTTCTCAACGTAATGGGATTGCAGAAGTGTGATCCCACCCTCATTATCTCTCAGTAGCTTGATGTTCAAGATAACATCAGCCACACCAAGGTCTTTCATCTTAAAGTTCTGAGATAGAAACGATTTGACCTCCTCAATGACTTTGAGGTTTGTTCCGAATATCAGTATGTCATCAACATACAAGCACAGTATAACTCCTTCGCCCCCACCATGGCGATAGTATACACATTTGTCAGCCTCATTAACAACGAAACCAACAGATGTCAGAGTTGTATTAAACTTATCATGCCATTGCTTAGGTGCTTGTTTCAGGCCATATAAAGATTTTATCAACCTACACACCTTTCTTTCCTGACCATCTATCACAAAGCCATCAGGCTGTTGCATGTAGATTTCCTCCTTTAGCTCTCCATTTAGAAAAGCCGTCTTAACATCCATCTGATGGACGAGAAGACCATGTGAGGCCGCCAACGAGAGTAATACTCGAATGGTGGTCAGTCTAGCCACAGGTGAATAAGTATCAAAGAAATCTTCCTCTTCTTGCTGGTCATAGCCCTTGGCCACAAGCCTAGCCTTGTACTTTTCAATCGTACCATCGGGCCTAAGCTTCTTTTTGAACACCCACTTACATCCCAGTGGTTTGCAACCATAGGGACGGTCAGTGATCTCCCATGTCCCGTTAGCCATGATGGAGTCCATCTCGCTACGGACCGCATCCTTCCAGTAGTCAGCTTCTAGAGAGGCATACGCTTCTGAAATAGAAGTGGGAGTATCATCCATGAGGTACACGAAGAAATCATCACCAAAGGTCTTTGCAGTCCTTTGTCTCTTGCCCCTACCAAGGGTTTCCTCGTCATCCTCCTCAGGATTTTCATCATGTGTTTGTTCATAATATTCCATAGGGATGGCAGGTTCAGGAGTCTCCTCAGATTCCTGTCTAGAAGTGCTTTGCATATCTCTCATAGGAAAAATATCCTCAAAGAATGTAGCATCCTTAGACTCCATAATTGTACCGATCTTCTGGTCAAGTACCTCAGATTTCACTACTAGAAATCTATAGCCAACGCTGTTCTTAGCGTAGCCCAAATTAATGCAGTCCACGGTCTTATGTCCAAGCTTACGCTTTTTGGGGATCGGCACGTTGACTTTCGCCAAACAGCCCCAAGTGTGCAAGTACGAGAGTGTCGTCCTTCTCTTTGCCCATTTCTCATAGGGAGTGATCTCACTATCCTTTGTCGGAACTTTATTCAGGACATGACATGCCGTCAATATAGCCTCCCCCCACCATGCCTTGGATAAACCCGATGTATCTAACATGGCGTTAACCAAATCAGTTAGAGTACGGTTTTTCCGCTCGGCAACCCCGTTTGACTGGGGTGAATAGGGAGGCGTCCTCTCATGAATAATGCCGTGTTCCGCACAGAAGGAATCAAACTCACTCGAGAAGTACTCTCCACCACGATCTGACCGGACTCGTTTAATTTTCTTTTCAAGTTGATTTTCAACTTCTGCCTTATAGATTTTAAAGTAGTGTAGAGCCTCATCTTTAGTATTTAACAGATACACATAGCAATATCTAGTGGAATCATCTATCAATGTCATGAAGTATCTCTTTCCACCTTTAGTCAACACAGAAGTTCCTTCGACCCCTTTTCCGTGCGAGTCCTTTGCCCTTGAGTTCTGCTCAACACTCAGATGGCCAATGACATCCTCCACAGAGAATTCACGCCTCTGATGTTTCAGAGTGGTGGCAAAGTTCCTCCAGGAATTGGGGAGCTTAGCGATTATGCAGCCCGCGACAAATTTGCCCGGTAACTCGCACTTAAGAAGCTCAAGCTCCTTAACAATGCATATTATCTCATGAGCCTGCTCCAATACAGGACGGTTTTCAACCATCTTGTAATCGTGGAACTGCTCTATAATATACATCTCGCTCCCTGCATCGGCAGCCCCGAACTTAGATTCGAGCGCCTCCCACAAGTCCTTGGCAGACCGCATATGTAAATATGCATCAACCAGCTTATCTCCAATCACGCTCAGAACTGCCCCGAGGAACACCACGGTGGCCTCCTTAAACGCCTTCTCCTGTTCAGGAGCGATCGTTCCTGTAGGAGTCACACCGGCGACCCAGAACACGTTCATGGCCGTGAGCCATAAGGTGGTTTTAGTCTGCCAACGCTTAAAGTACGTCCCCGTAAACGGGGACGGTTTCAGTGCAGCAGCAAAACCAGAATTCGAAAAACTCCTACAGATATTAGGTTTTTGGATTGATGAGAAAATAGTCAGTTTTTCGATTAAATTAATCCATGAATAAATCATGAGCATGACATGGACAACATTGATAACATACTGATTATGATCTAACAGAGCATGTACTACGCATATAGTAGAGACATCTACGCATACCGCTAGTACTGCTACAACAGAAAAAAACACGAGAGGGATAAGCGATGTATACCCTCCAATCGGCCACGCGGTGGCGGTGGCGGTGACAGCAGCCGCGGCATCCTCGGCGGCCTTCTTGTCGGCCTCGGCTTTCTCAGCGGCGGCACGGTCGGTGTCGGTCGACATGGTGATGATGAAGGTGATGCGGACGTAGATGAACAGAAGCGAGCAGTCGCGTAGTCGCTACCCAAAAACCTAATCGCCCCTCTCCCCGTACAGGATCCGGAGAGGCGTGGTTTCGGAGGCCTGCTCTCCCGTCAACCGTGTACGCGGTGAACGGGACGGAGTCGCCGGCGGCAGCAGCAGCAGAGGAACGACGTGGGCGTGGAGGCGGAGATGCGTTCTGTTTTGTGACGGCTAGGGTTGGCAGCGCCCCACATATATATGTGCGGCCGCGCGTGGAGAGACGTGGGCTGAACCCACGTCCAAGTCGGTAGCCCACGATCCGACGTCTCAGATCGTGGCCCCACCTGTCAAAGAC